CTCACCTCTCCAGACGGTGGATGTTACAAAGGACAGCAAGAAAGCAACTCTACACAGTATCCAGGCCTTTAACAGGCACTGGACAACCGTTTTAGTGGCAATGACTAGCAGGAAAGAGACTGACAAGTACAAGTGAGCCCAAGAAAGAAATGCAACACCGCATCAGCACCTTGGGAGAGCCATGCTTTTGAATCATCACTGCCAATACCCATGCTATAGAACCACCACCACCACTGTCAATACTCACACTCTAAAACCGCTACTGCCAATCTCAACACATTCTAGAACCACCAGCACCAACACCCACACTCTAGAACCATCACTGCCAACATCTGTGCTCTAGAACCATCGCCGCCAACACCCACGCTCTAGAACCACCACTGCCTATGCCTTTGGAAGACATTTTACTGGTAAAGATGACAAAGATGAAAATACAGCTCTTGGATATTTAAAACACTTTCCTTTTATTTAAGGGAAGATGTATCTTTAATCTGTTTTTCAAGTTCTGTGTTGTATATATTTGTGATATAAAGGAGAAAATACGCACATGGGCTTTAGGATACAATTACATATTCATATATTTATACAACTACATATTTGTATCTATGCTGTTTTGTCCAATGGCATACATATTTAAAAAGGAAATGCCAATGGCTTACCCCAATGCCTGTGCAACTTTAACAGCAAGGTGTGCAGGTCAAGAACAGTGTCAACATTTGCCAGGCAGTTAGAGACAGTGCTTGGCTAGAGGATATCCCAGAATGCAGGGCCTAGCATCATGCCCTCCTCTGCTGCTGACCCCAGATCCCTGCTAATGCACACCCAGGGATAGCAACTTAAAGCTCAGCTACTCAGTTCCAGCCACACAGGTCCACGGACCTGGGCCAAGCTCAACACTCTTAGCTTCCGGTTGCTATAGCCCCAGCTCTTAGAGGCATCTGGGGAGTTAGACAGGCTCAAAGACCTCTGACACTATCTGTGTCCTTCTGTCTTTCAACTAGGTAACAACAAAGCCACAAGAACTCTGCAACAAAAAGGAAGAATATGTAATGGCAAAGAAACACACATTTTGAACCTCACATGCTGTAAGAATTGCCAGGAAATCAATCTGGAATGAATAAATACACACACACACACACAACATATACTTAAAACATATATTTATTTATATTCATATGAAATTTAAGGGTGCAATCATGTAACAAAAACAATAAAAACAAAGTGCTAAAAGGAGGGAAAACCCGCCAAAGGTATTTTCCTTTTTTTCTGAAACTAATTTCAACACATAGGATGGTAAAGGCAAAGTCATTTAAATCATTTCCTTAGTAATACAAGTAATATTTAAATAGATTTAATAGTGCTGCTCCAAACCAATGAATTATGGGTTTAAAACCTATTAAAATGTAATGTTTTTTTCCTGAGCTGAGAGGAGAGAGATTTAAATCCACTGAATTTTAATATTTCAGCTTGAGCTGCAGGAGGTAGAGAAAGTCCAAATGAACTATTCCATCAGCACCATTCAAGCATGAACATTTTAATCAGTTTTACTTCCTTGGAGTTCTCTAACACAGTTTACGCTGTCATTCTGAAAGCACTTAACACAGAGAGTGTGAAAAACCACCAAGGCTTGTTATTGCCTTCACAATTGATGGCAAATAATTTTGCAGACTTCCTATCATTAAAATGTCACTGCTAAAAATTGAGGTTCAGCATTTCTAGTGCTAAACTGCTTTTTCCGACAACACCATGCCATACCTGCTCTTAAAGGCTTTAAATGCATACATTTCTAGCATTTCTTTTCCTTAAAAGAGTTAGGTTTAAAAAGAGGAGGGGGTGTTTCCAAAGAAACCACATCTTCTATTTTTATAAGCCAAACATATCCTTTTTCAAGGTTCATACTAACAAAACTTTTTTAATGCTCTTTTTTTTTTTTTTGGTTGAAATTCTTACGAGGTTCCAAGTCAGCCTCCTTCATTAAGCAAAACCACATTCACACAGCATGCTCTGATTATATAGTGTAATGGATTGAAAGCATTTTAAGATAGTCAGAGGACTCAATAACACAGGAAATGAAAACATCTTTTCTAATTAGATCATATTACTGATTTTAAAACTACAATTTGTGTGTTGTTCCAACAATGTGATCTCCCAGAGATTCTAATTTTAAAAGCCAGTGGCTAGTAGGACACATGACAAGATCCAACTGGATACGTAACATTCCCCCAGACCATTCAAAAGAATTCAGGGAAAGCTTGGAGGAAGTCTGAAGCACCACCAATTCAAAACAAAATACAAAATATTAGCCACAAAGAAGCACACAGGAATTTTTCTGGTTTTCTTCCTTATAAATAAAAGATAAATGATATTTAAGTTATTTCAATCTATCAACAGTTTTAAACTGAACATGACCTGTGAAAGAAATCATTATAGCTGTGTTTCATTCCATTAAACACACTGGCTTACTGTCGAGAGAACAGCCTCCTCTCCAGGGTTCAGGCTCACTTCAGCATTCTGCATTCCAACTGCATGGATCACTGGTTTGGCTCATTTACCAATGAAGGTAGAATAATATTGCAGAGTTAAAAAGGTGCTTTATCAGATTTCATTAAATCTGGGAACATTTGCTCTTGTCTGGATGGGTGTGCATACATATAAAACAGATACATATGTAGTGATAAGTCAATGAAGATCTGCAGGGCTTAGTTGAGTCTGCCTGGAGAGGGAAAACTGCCATTCCCTCAACGCACAAAGTCACTGCCAACTGCATTCTAAAATCAACAAAAGCAACGGACCCCTCGTCATTCTGGGTAGCAGGTCAAACATCACCTCACAACACAGCCACGCTGCTTAAGGGAACACAGAGTGGCAAGTGTGTTCAAAATCTCACATTGCTAAATCTCACAGAGCTGCACACAAGGCACTACCCACGAGCTGAAAAGGACCAAGAGAATCTCAGCAGCAGAAAAACATCAAGCGAGTTTATCACTGGGTTTCTTCCCTAAAATCACCAGGATTGTTTTTCCATTTCTGCAGTCTATTCTTCCAAACAGATATGATTCTGACTATTTTTCTGCTCAGATACAAACAGATTGGAACTCCCCCAAATCAGCAACTGTAACACAAGCTGCTTTGATAGCATACAGCTCTGAACATGTTCTCTGCAGAAGTTTCCAGATCACAAAACTAAATTAGTTTTTATTTTAATAATTAAATCTCTATATAAAACAAGTCTGTCAGTAGCCTGGCTACAATCTAGTAAATCATTATTCTCCTGAGAAAAGGCAAGCTGCCATCTTTTTGCAAACAAACCATGTAAAAGTAGCAGCACTTAACATGTACTTGCTATCATGAAGGAAAGGGAATTTGCTCTCATTTTGGATCTTCTCTCATATTTTTAAACAGCCGATTCAAAACAATGTCTTTGATTTAGTTTCAACTCTCTGCAATCATTAAAACGCTCAACAAGGAAGCAAAGCATCCTGTTTTCTCGGAAAAGGCTGTCAATTGGGCCCATGGTTGGATGGCTATCTATATTTTAGGCATTTATACAAATGAGAAACATAACACTACACTAGAAATGGCACAGCAAACTCTCTCACTGGGCGTCACTGCACACATGCCCTCTCACTGATCTGCCCATGCTTACTTGTGGGAGACTAGTTAACAAAAATATAACACGGTCCAACCCAAAGGAAAAAAGACACAGGTATTCACAGGCAAGCACAAGAATGCATACAAAACTCCTGTTTCTGGACTTTCTTAAAGCATTTTATACTTTTTTTTTAGTTGCAGGAACAAAAACGAATTGCAAATTGTTTTACTATCCCCACCCAATAAGAATCATAAAACAAATGTTATTCATGACACTATGTGCCTTGTTCATACTCTACTTTCCAAAGTGGTACCAGGGCAGGAAACAAGGGTTACTCTTTCTTATTTATTACGTCTGCCATTTACTCTTTACTCCCAGTTCTTCCTGTGGTCCTAAGGATGCACAAGCAGAGCTCCAAAGAGCTCACTGAGAACCAAGCTACAGCCACACGACTGCGCCCTCACCATGGCTAAGATCCCAGAGTTCTGACTTCCTTGTTAAAAGACAGAGGCATAATTGAAGCAGTGTCTTCACTTCACACTGATTATCAGGCGACCCTTATCCACATCTTCACGCAGCAATTTGAATTTTAATGAAAGTAAATGGAATAATTAGCATTTCAAAGTGTGTTTGATACACTGAAGGGGGAAAAAAAGAGAAAAGACTTTTGTGTATAACATATACACAAAAGAAAGTGTTTGGGAGGGGGCAGAAAGGGAAAGTAAGTAAGTAGTGCCTCCATTAAAATCACGCAAGAACTAGGGAGAGGAGACTGCGTTCTTTAAAGCTACGCTTTCTCATGTTTATTATTATCATCTCTACGACTTTCAGAATTACTTTGTTACTGGTTCATCTGAGATGGCAAGAGACTGTAAGTGAAATGGAAGGAACTGCTCTAACCCATGAGTACCACAGGATTCCCACACAATACCAAGGCCACTACTGCCAGGAAGTATTTTCCAATAAGTGTATAGTTTTTCAAAAAAGTATAGTTCATCTATTATTTCTACTACAAGTGGACATTAGCCCAAAAGAATCACTCATCAGAGAGTAAGAAAACTAAGTAGCAGGAGACAGGAAAACACACACGTCACCAGAAGCAATACTGAGATACACCGTAAAACCTGTGGGAAGTGCGTGTGTATGCTTCCGGTCTAGGTCGGTGATGTAAGCCCAGAAGTGGAGTGCAAAGAAACAGTGTGACAACTACACATTCTCCTTAAAGCAGGTAAGAACGGGCTCCACTTGGGAAGCAGCTATCAGATTCCACAGAAGAGGAAAGCAATGTACTTAAGTTCCCCTTGTGGTCATCTGTGGCTTTCTGCCTCTTGGATGGAATACAACTGAAAAGAGAAAGCGAGAGAGCGGACGACAAACACTAAGATGAGAGCTCAAATGGAAAGGCCACGTACCCCAATGATGGCGTTCAGTTCTGCCATGGTCACCTGCTTGGCCCGTTCCACAGCCTGCACCACTTGTTGCTGGTGCTATAAATGAAGATCAGAAACAGAATACAATTATTTGTTTTCTACTCAATTAAGAACAGCTTTTCCTAACATGTCCGCTAACTTCAATTACATGCAAAACAGCATTTGGAGGTCTCCAGATGGTGGATGACTACATTTCTAGGGTGTGTGAGTCCACAATGCGCAGGGTGAGCAGGTACCCAAATGCAGGCAGTGCCTCTGTGCCCTCAGGAAGGATGCTCCCCTAAAACTCATAAACAGCTTGAAGGTCAGTGGTGTATTTGACAAACAGCTTCCCCTGGTATTAACAAAACTTAACACCTCCCCCTCCAGCTTCTTCATCCCTCCTTTTACTTTGCCATCTACATAAAGGTTTCTGAAATAGTTTTCTATTAATGATAATTGCAAAAGGACATACAGAATTTCATGTTTTAAGTTCTTCTAGAAACACAAACAAAAAGTGCTCAGGTTTTAATCTGTCATGAAGAGCTGCATGTTAAAAGATTAAAAAAAAGCCTACGACTCAAGTTTAAGGACGACAGGCATTTCTTTTAAATGACATAGAAAAAACTAAGTTTTATTTCTTTAGAAAAACCAGGATGGACAGCCTAGAAACCCCTCCACCCTTATTTCAGTTCTGAAGAGAATGAGCATGAACTGGTATTAGTAACGTCTGTGATATTGGAACCACTAAACAGCACACATGCCAGCCCAGGGGCACTCACTCACTCAAACCTGGACAGAGGTACGCACAAGCTCCATGTACAAGAACCACCAAAATGCTAACACGTTTCCCAAATAAAGGCATTTGAACACCCTAGTACCTACAGACCAAAACCGGGTCTTAAACAGCTCTCTCTGGGATTCTTTCAACTAAGTTTAGTGAATGAAGAAGCAAAGAGACTGTGTTATGAAACAAACACTCCTTTGTGTGGTTCAAGAGTCTGTTTTGACCGATCTCAACTGAGAAATTTAACTTTCTTAACTTTCTGGAAGTGAGTATGAAGCTCAACTCTCAGACTGCTTAATATCTACCAACAGCTGTCAAACCATACAGAATCCCTCTTGAACTACCTTGGTCTCCAATCCACAACAGGTAAATACAGTTTCAAAAATTAACTGAAGTAACCACCTAAAGAGTGGGGAGGTGATGTGAGAAAGGAAGCTGCCTTATTTTTCACCGTTGGTGTCCTAAACGTGTAGTTTGTGTCTACTAAAAGAAAAGAAAATGTCAAATTTCAAATCACTGCATTTTACAGCACAGATTCAGCACCAAACATCATATTTTACGTTCTTTCAAACTGTAAGACTTTCAGTCTGAAAACAGGGACTGAAAAAGCAATCCCAAAGTCTTTATATAACTGTTTGTGTCCATTCTCTCATTTTTAAAATCATTATTTCCCAAAGCGAAACAATTTCTCCCTTCCTTGGAAAAAAGTAAAACTCCGGTGAGATTCTCAAGCTCTAGAAGGAACAGAAAGGCACAGCAGATAAAGTAGCCAATGAAATGAACTTGAGCTTCACCTAAAGCCCCATATCAACAGGTGTAGAGCACCTTCTATGTGTTAAACACAAAATTCACATTCAGATTTAAGACAACCCAATTCTCAGGGTAATGAGAACCAGAAGCAAACACAGAAAGACAACATGCACAACCCAGGAGTCAATGAACCCCCAAAGTGAGACTATGGGCAGATAGTTTTACGAGATTTTCCACCTTTTACTTTTTGACATTGAACTAGGACCACTCAAAAACTTCCAGGAATCAAGCAATGGACCAGATATTCACACATCCAAAGAGCATGTCAGCCACTTGCGTGTTCAGTGTTAAGTTTTTAACTTTCTCTTCCATCTCTCTATAGTGAAACAGCTCCATATCACTGAACTAATATGTACTTTATATTAAGTATGCAAAGGACAGTTCCATGAGAGAGATACTTAAGGCCTCTCTACCATGAAAACTTCTTGCTTCATAAACTTGATACCAATTGTTACAATGGGCAGAGGTGTCTTAGGGAATGGAGATATTTTTCCAGTATGGATTAAAAACCAAGTGCATTTTCGGAGAAGACCACACACACACACACACACACACACACACACACACACCACTGAGTCATAACTGATGAAGCACCCCTAAAGAAACCAGCTAGAAGCTGAAATCCCAAAAGCAGTTATGATTCAGGTCCTCCTTTAGGATGGCAATGGCCATGGACTAACACAGTATAAATCTTGCCTGCAGCACAGAATCTGACGTCCCAGTTGCTGCTTACAGCCTGTGAATCAATGCTGGCTACGGACCTTCTGAACAGAAGCTCCTTAAGGCAAACAAGGCTCCCACCCTGTGACAACCTCTAAAGCACCACAAGAGCCTTGATGCTCACTGCTCATTCAGCTCCACAGCAACATCACACCACAGACCAACAGTGCCAAGATGAAAACTCAGGCAGAAGGGGCCACAGATCACAAACGAGAAAAGTGGACAGATGAAGCAGTGGCCCCAAGTACTCCTGTGCATTGCCACAGGAGGCATACTTTCCTGCCCACTTTCAGACTTAAATAAGCTGACTCAGGAAGTCCAGCAAGTGGTTCACAGCTTCTCAGAAGCCTGAGAGTTCTCCCATTATGCCTGCCCTTTCTTCCCCTTTTCTTCTCCCTCCCCATCTGCCCTCTCCCACTCCACCCTCATCTCATTTCCTTTCCCACTTCCTGCTTATTCTCCCTGCCACTACAACCCCAAGTGGTGACAGCCACTGTGACCCAGTCAATCTGCAGAAGGCAACAGTCACATTGATCTCTGCTTGCTCAAGCTGCACGCACAAATATGGACTCCTGGTTCGAACGTGCCCCTGGTACCAGCACAGAAAACTGCCCCCTGAGGATGCATTAATAAACCAAGGGGACAAGGGGAACTCCAGCTGGGATTTGAAAGACACACACCAAAAAAAAAAAAAAATCTCCATACTATTTGTTCTTTAACATACTCTGATTTATAGTTTTCTTTAAAAAATTCTAGAAAGAAAAAAAATTGTGTGATGATGGCTACACAATTCTGCTTTGAATTTAATGAAAATCACTATACACTCACAATGAATGAATTTTACAGTATGTAAATCTCATCTCAATAAAATCAACTTCGGAAAATTATTGTGATGTAAGAGATGCAGCACAAGTGGGGGGGTGTAAGTGAAAGAAAATTTGTACATCAAATCTCTTGCCCACATCCATCATCATAAGATTATTTCTTAAATTCATTCAGAAAAAAAAAAAACACATTTAAGTGTTTGCTTTTGCCAAGAGAGATTAAAACAATTTAAGCTTGTGGTAAGTCCCAGAAAGCCTGCTGAGCAATGGGCCTCAGATCACCAAACACCTGTTACAGGAGGTATCCACTACATGTCAGAAGGGTTCATGGCAACAATGCCAGCCAAGCCAAAACAACAGAGACGGCATTGCTAATCAAGCACAGTAACACAAGCTTCTACATTACAAGTCAGAATTTTCAAAAAACATTCCCATCCTGATAAGGTTAGCAAGGGCAGAAATATAGAGTCGGACAATGTTCTTACTATGCAGGCCTTGACCACTCCAGCACACTAAGATGCAAGAGGAAGACAAGCCTGTGTGTCAGGACTCACACACCTGGGGCAGCTCTCGGACCAGAATACAGAACACCAGGACAGCTCAGAGAGGGAACTGCCTGCACACTTCCTAGGCTACGAGCAAGGCCCCCTCACACCCTTTTTAAAATCCATTTGATGATTGTTTAGAAACCAGTGTCCTGCAGCTTCTGATACAGTTCCCTGAGAAGGCATCCAAAAAACGGCCCATGCACTTGGGGTGCAGCCGTCCAGGCATGCTGGAAGCCTGGACAAAGCTCCTGGTGCCTGGTTTTGGTCTGGCCTGGCCCATCCTTTAACAAGCAGATCGATAGACAATCTCTCTCTAATCCCTCTCTTCCTCTCTGTGTGCCTCTTCCTGTCAAACAAATAAAAAATAGACTTTTTCTTTAAAAATATATATATATATTTAAAATATTTATATATATATATATATATATAATCAAATGCACCTTCTATACACCAGGCACTGTATCTGGCACTAAATTTGAGTAACAAAAACAAAGACAACCGCCCTTGGTCATACAGTCTCTATGAAGAAAAATCGCCTATGAATTAATAATGCCTGAAACTTTATAATTACAACTGCCAGATCATTTCCATGAGAAAATTACAGGATGTTCTGTGATCATTTATCAGGAAAACATTTTCATATACTCTGGATTAGGGGAAGAATCGCTAAGATGACCTGACAAATTGGCAGGAGAAATTCATTCCAGGCAGCGAGGAGCGACTGGGCTGAGGTCCCTGAAGAAGAAAGCAGCTATGTGCCTGCACAGGAAGGAGGGGCAGAACTGGAGACCCGGGCAGGGTGGACTCTGTGAGGCCTTCCTCCCTAGGTGAGATACACATGTGGAAAACCCTGAGCAGCTCACAGACCAACAATGGCAGATGCTTGAGGGCACCGCGAGGACCCTTGGGAACCATGTGTGAGTAGGAAATGAAATCTGGCAACGCAGGGGCAGCCATACTCTAAGGCGCTTTGCCTAACATGCAAAACAGTGGGATTTTAACTCAATAGGAAATGAGACATTATGAAATATTTTCAAGCAGCTGAGTACCGTCAGCTCTGCATTTAGATGAGATGGACCTGGGGACAGTGAAAGAGCTGGGTAGCAAGTCTGTATGATAAAGCATAGAGAACAGGTAAAGCATTGCAGGATGCTAGGGTGAGACACCTGGACCTGCACTCAGGTGAGTCCTTGTCACAGGAACTCTTAGCTGCACGCACATAAAGCCACGCATAGAAATTCAGAACTAGAAACGAGTTAGAGCTCATGAAACCCAGATGCCAGAAGCACACAGGTTTCCGGCTGAGAGGACTTGAATAGAATCGCAATAGCAAATGCAGGTCAGAGGGACCCTCTAGTCAGTGGAGGACTCTCCTGTGTCACACCCTGG